TCAATGAATTCAGATAAAATCAACATTCCAATGAGGGGCCCCATCATATGAACACTATCAACTCAGGTATTTTAAGAAAATGTGGCTCCTTTAGTTTTATTATGCATTTACTCTTTCTTATGAGACCACAATTTCTGCTCATAGGAGGGCATTTAAATTTGTTACTCAGAGGTAATTCAGTCTCTTTCAGATTAAAACAGCTGCTTTTGCTTTAAAATAGTCTCTTTCTTTTTAAATGGCTCCTTCAGATAAATATTCAGTCAAATTCAAGGTTCATACTCCAGGAAGGCTGTTTCTTTGTGCTCAAAGGTTGATCACCACCTTCTTCTCTTTCCCAAAATAGCATCTCCAAGAGGAGACAGTTAGGGGACCTCCTAAGGAATGGAGGGACTACTGGTCTCCTGGGGTCCTGCTGGTACCCACTGACTGAAACCCATGGTTTCACATATGGTCTGTTTTCTCAAGATAGTTGGAACCAGGCAATTATCCCACCTCTCCCAACACTTCCGAAAGTGCCACTCAGTCTTTCCTGGAGTCAGGGGACACATGGGAACTTTTGAAACTGTCCTCTCCAATGACAAACCTTGGGAAGGCAACAGGGTGGACAGGTGGGGACTGTCTTGCCACCTCACCCCCTCATCACAACGTAGCTTCGACCCTACTGCAGCTGCTGCCCAGAGGCCTGGAGCAACTTTTCTCCTGTTGTCCCAAAGGACAAATAGGGCACAAGTTATAGTATTGCTATGGGATTCTCCCAAGCTTAACTATTTCTGAACCTAACCTATCTAGGGTTTTGATCCAGTGAGAGGAGCCAGAACCCCTGCCTGCCCCTACAGGCATTTGAGATTGCTACCGAAACCTCTGCACCAAAACACAAACTCATTAACAGAGCTACTAAAATAACATAAATAAGAAACTTTGAGATCGAAGAAGTGAATGGATCCAAAATACATTACATTTTTTTGTTCAGATGGTATTTTAAATACTTTCTTCTATACAAACATAAAAGTTTGGAAGCTAGAGAGCAAATGAATGGTAACTGATTCAGAAAACCTGAGAAGGTTAAAATCCAAAACAGCAGTGGAGAAAACTGAAAACCAACCCACTTCCCCTCCAGAATCGTGAAACGGCATGGGAATTAACAGCATGGAGCATTTCTGGACTAGAGGGTAAAGATGGAGTTACTACAAGGAGGCCAAGGGAGAAGCTGTTTAGGAAGCACTTAATCCCCACAGGTGTCCCCTCTTCTCCCCACACTCTCACGCCCCCCACGGCCTTGGCTAGGAAGTATCAGGAGAAGGTAAAACTGCATCTCTGAACTGAAG